ACTCCATCTGGTCCTAGGTTTTTCTTTTGTGGGGAAAATTTTAATTACTGCTTCAATCTCATGGCTCATTATAGGTTTATTTAAATTATTTATATCTTTTGGATTTAATTTAGGTAAGTCATATGTGTTCAGAAATTTATTCATTTGTCTAAGTTTTCTTCATACTATTCTCTAATGACCATCTGGATTTCACTGGAATCTGTTGTTGCTTATGCACTGGGGTCTTTTCTCTCTTTACATTCCTAAGTTATTTTCTTAATATCTATTTTTCTGTGTTTATTTATTTACCATGTTGGGTATTATAAGGTAGGTCCTGATAAAACTAGGCAAGAACTCTAAAATTGAACTGCATCCCATCTCCTCCTTTTTTCTAATTTCTTAAACATGCAGTTCAACGAATTTCAGCCTGTCCCATTAAAGCAAAAGCATTTTAATACTTGTTGTTCAGATGCCTCATTTATTTCACACACACACACATACACACACACACATACACACACACACACACACACATATATTGAGATTGAGATATAGTTATTCTGGCTAGTTTTATGTCAACTTGACACAAGCTAGATTCTGTGAAAAGGGAGCCTCATTTGAAAAAAAAAAAAAATCTCCATAAGATCAGGCTGTAGGCAAGCCTATAGAGTGTTTTCTAATTAGTGATTGATGTGGGCAGGCACCGCCTATTATAGCCTAGTGGTTCTGAGTTCCATAAGAAAGCAGACTGAGGAAACCATGAGGGACAAGCCAGTAAGCAGCATCCCTCCATGACCTCTGCATCAGCTCCTGCCTCCAGGTTCTTTCCCAGTCTGAGGTCCTGTCCTGACTTCCTTCAGTGATGGACTATGATGTGGAAGTTTAAGCCAAATAAACCACTTCCTTTGGGGACCCTCTCATGCTATATAGGAATTCTTCCTTCTCTGTATCACCTTCTGAAGTTCCTACCTAAAAATTTAATAAATGTTTTTTTAAAAAAAGCCAAAAATCCTTTCTAAGTTTACTTGTAGTTTTAGTTTATCTGTTTTTGGTCATTTAAAATCCAATAATATATTATTTATAATGTAAGTCTTAAAAACTCATCGAAACATTATAGATTAACATATGATCAATATTTATAAATATTCCATGGATACTTGAGGAAATGTTCTATAAATTTCCACAGGAGAGTCTTTTTATAGTGATTTTTAGATATTCTATATACCATTATTGCTCTATGAACCTGGTTCATCAAATATTGAGAAAAGTACATTGAAAATTCCCATTATCATCATGAATTATTAATGTCTCTATTTAGTTCTTATGTAATTGTAAAAAAAAAAAAAACTACTTAAAATGTGTGGTACTGGATATGTTCTAGAATTGTACAATAATGCTGAAATAACTATAATTGGGTAAGGGTAAATTTTAGTTTATTTTTGCCTCAGAATATTGGAAAAACAATCCTTAGTTATGTTTACTTGACTTGTCTAGTTCTATCATTTTGCATTGAGTCATATCACAACCTTATTTTAAAGTATATCTCCTTTTAATTTATTTTGTTTTTTGAGACAGGCACTCGTTATACAGCCCAGGCTAGTCTGGAACTGTGTAAATCAGGTTAGCCTTAAGCTCATAGTGATCTGCCTGCCTCTGCCTCCAGAGTACTCAAAGTAAAGTCATGAATCACGACTCCCCACAACTTACATCTCTTTTAAATAAAGCCAGTTAAATTTATATTAGTATAGTCCTTTCCTTTCAACTGAAAATGTTGCCCAATTACAGTTTCTGCAATGGATGTATTTAGATTATCTTTACTACTCTTCTTTGCACTATTGGTGTGTTCTTTTCTAATATTAATTTTTTCTCACCATGTTCTTTTAGGTTGACTTTTCTTTAATTTTAGTTTTTCATTTCTGCAAGACATTGCCTTATGCAGTCATTTTTATCTGTTTAATGCCACATTAGTAATCTCTATGTGTATAAATGATAGTCTAAAATTAACATCATTCTCTTCCATTCCAACAACGTAAGTTGGACTTTAGAGTCAGTGCTGTGTTTCAAACACCATCCCTTTCCTATCTTGCAGCTGTCCTTTTTAATAACCATACTTTTCATAGGTAACTTTAAACTACTTAGATTGACTTATCTCTTTTCTTCTCTCGGCTTCACTATTCCTTCTCATGGATCAGATCTTCCATCAGCTATCATTTTGTTTCAGAACCAATTCATTTCCTATAGGAAAAGTCAAGTGCCAAACAGCCTAGCTGAGATCACTTTATCACAAACTTTTAACTCAGGAGTATTCAATCCAACACTCTACCACCTACAGTTTGACCTGATCATAAATAGTCCCGGAAAATTTTGTGGTAAACTACAATGTTGAAAAAAAAAAAAAAAAAAAAAAAAAAAAAAAAGAAGAAGAAGAAGAAAAAGAAAAAAAAAAAAAAAGACCTACATTCTCTGGAAATGTGGACAAAGTAGAAGACTCATATCCCAAGTCTGTGCTCAGATGGGGGAGGGGTGGGAAGTGGACTGAGGATTTTGTTTGTAGCTCACCTTTACACTGAGGATGTTTCTTCTCCTGTCCAGCTTTATAAAGGAATGCTTGATGTGGGTCATCACCATCACCTTGCTTAGGCTGATGCTCTGGGTGAGGTCCGTGAGGTCCTTGGATCCTGCAAGTCCTGGAAAAACCAAACTCCAAGTCACTTAGTTTTGGCAAACCTTCTGAGAGGCAGTTGGCTAGAACATCCTTCCAGAACTTACTTTTCTGAGTATCTGTCTTCCTTGGTTCTTTTGGCTTCTGAAGTTTCCTTTCATTTTCTCATCAGCTCAGTAGTTCAATTAGAGCATCTTCAAGTTTGCTTATGAACCATTTATGCTACAGACAGCTTTATGCTTCATGTTGCCAAAACTGATCCACCACACTACTCCTAACTTATAGAAGGCCTCAGGATTAGTACTCTGTCCCTGACAATGATAATCCACCAAGCTGAGGGAGTTTGAACACTTCAGTCAGCCTTTGGTTTATGTTTCCTTGTTAGAAGCACCTGAGGGCTCCTTTTATGACCCTTAAAAGAGAACTGACTTCAAACTTGCATAACCTCCTTAAGGAAAAGATTTAGCATTCTTAATAAAACCTTTAAGTTTCTAATGAACTTTAATGAGACCAAGACATGTATTAAACAAGGCATCGACCCATACGACCCATACTACTGCATGTAAGCTGTAAGTCAAAATTTGTTAACAACTTTGGGGTTTTTAACTTTCCTTTGATGGACATTCTAACTAAATTTATGATTTCTCTAGCAAAAACATTCTTACCAATAGTGAATATTTGAAATGAACCCCGCCATAGAAATTTCCTTTACTTGTAACAAGACTGAAATAATGGCATTGTTCTTAACTAGTGTGAAGAGGTTTCATTAATGACTCTTTAATTAAGAAAATAATCAATTGCCTTTCAATTTTCACCTCAAAGTTTATAGCTATAATGAATAAGCACAACCTACTTTCCACTGTTATAAAAACCTTCTTCAGGGATAAGGGTTTGGCTCAATGGCTGCTCAAATACTTAACCATGTTAAGGCCCCAGGTTTAAGCACCTCTCAAAGGTAAAAGAGGTATTTCTGAATCTTGTGGATATGCTAAATAATCTTACAAAATAATATTATGGTTAAAGTTTTATTCAAATTGAAAAATGGAACTAGAAATGTTCAACTAGGTTATGACCAGGCATATGAACTTAATTTTCATTTCCAGTTAAAACATTTTTGTAGTATTCTAGCAAAACATCCTTCTCTACCAAAATTCATTACTGTGCTAATCAGAAATGCATTAAAATTTTAATGTTCATGGATCCATATGAAAAAATTGAGAACTAGTGTACTCATTCACTCTCTATATATCTATATATAGATATAGATAGATGATAGATTCATATATACATACTCTCTCTATATATATACATATTTCCTAATTTGTTTTAATTTAATGTTATATAAAATTTAGATGTTTTGATAATTTAACTGAAATATAATAAAAACTAAGCACAAGGGTGTTAGAAAAGCTAGATTTCTCTCCAAATGAATTTGAATAAATCTCTTTTTTTATGCATTGATCTTCTGCAAAACTAAACAATCTGAGTCAAGATTACGTGGGTTCAAATTCCATTTAAGATGTTTCCCAGAGTATTAGCCAAGCAACCTATCCTTATCTGTGAGAAATTATACATCAGTGTTAGCTAAGCATGAGGACTAAGTTGTGTAACATCCTCAGAGAAAGAGTGAAGCATGAAGACTTCTATTTAAAGGCCATGCACTGAACTAGCCCACATCAACTGAATTACAAGACTGTGCACTTATTGAGATATCTTTTCATGGTATTCCACTTACTATTTCATTAATATGCATTACCTGTTCTTCCCTTAAAAAGAGGAGAAGGAGCAGTCTTCCAACTACATATGTACCTGGCATTGAATAACTAAATTGAAATCCTGGAAGAAGGGAGAAAACAAAACAAAACAAAAAAGGGAAAAGTTTAGCTTCTCTGAGCTCTTTGGTTAAAACAGCTGCTTCGGGCAGTTTCCACAAACTACTTGATTCTGCACAAAGTCATTCTTTGGTAAATGCAATTCAAGAAGGACCTCAGTGTGTTAAGTGAAAGAATGAAAGAGAAGCACACTCAGAGACACACACAGAGACACAAAGGAGAGGAGAGGAGGGAAGGAAGGAAGGAGAGAAAAGACATTGAAAGGGAAGAAAGGAATGAAGGAAGGAGAGAAGAAGGAAAACACAGAAAAAGAAGCATTATGGTCTTGGTTGGTTAGAGAATGAGAGCCTGTATCAGCACTACAGAATTCCAGAGAGACAGTGTATTGTTGTCTTGAAAGCCACAAAGCTAAACAATTCCAAGAATGTCTGGCAAAGCCCTTTTGGGAAGGGCAAGGTGGGGGACTGACTGGGAGGGGGAGACCCCTCCGCCCCTTCGCAGGGTGTGATAGGATTTGGGAGACCTGGCTGAAACCTTCAGGTCACCCAAGGAACTGCTCTCGCGGCTGGTCCTGTGCGGCAAGGCAGGGGGTGAGCGCGAGGCGCGCGGGGCGCGGAGATGTGCAAGTGGCGAAGCTGGACCGAGTGCCGCCGTGAGCTGCAGAGCGGCCACTGCGAGGGGTGAGTCTCCCGGTGAGGGTCCGAGGGAGGCGGGCTTCCCCGGTGCCCTCCCGCCCGGTGCCCTAGCGGGGCCTGGAACCTCCCGTGACTCCGGCCTCGTCTCCTTCGCGCGCGAGGCGCTCGGTCGCACCCTGGGGACGCACCGAGCGGTGGGTGCTCTCCCGGGCTAGGGGCCAGCCTGCCTGCCGCTGCCCCGGCCGGCGCGCTCATTGGTCAGGAAGTGTCTGCTCAGCAGCCTCCAACTTCTCCCCAATCTCACTGGTGAGTCGCCGGAGAGCGAGCGACCCGGCACCGGGGTCCCCGGGGCATCAGGAGCCCGTAGGACGGGCAACAGGAGGACTTAGAGAGCGGGGGCCAGGGACGCGCGGAGCAGGGTCTGAGGCGGAGGTCCCGCGCAGAGCGGACACCCGAGCCTGGCTGCCGCGGGCGGAGTAGGCGTGTCCTGGGCGGGAGCCGCCACTGGGACCTGAGAATGTGGGGAGGGGAAGGGACTGACAAGGCGACCTGGAGGAGGGCCCTGTGAGTGATGTCAGGTCACCTCCAGGTTCATTTTCATAGCTCCCTGCAGCCTCCGCCTGGGAGTTATGTTTGGTGACCGAGAGCAGCGCTACCAAATTGCACCGGGGTTGATTTGGGGGCTGGGAACTGGCCATTCCGCTGTACAGACACTGATTTTTTTTAAAGCAAGGTTTGTTTTCATTTTAGTTTCTATCGGGTTCTCTCCTCAATTAACTCACTTTTCTAGTTTTTAATTTCTTAACCTAAATGTCTTTTCACGATCCCATATCTTCATCGTTCTTTGAACCTTGGCTTCCTATTATATAATTCATGCTTAAATCTCCCAAAAGGTTGGCTGGCGCGGGGTGGGGAGTGTTCTTTTGTAGCTGGAAGTTTTTAATGACCCTTTCTTATTTAACCTATCCCGATCTATTTATAGTCTTTAAAAATAAGAGTAACTGTAACCGGGTATTCCTCTGAGCTTCTCGGCCAAGCCTATTCCTTGTCTATAATCGGTTCACGTGGATTTTATTAAACTGAAAAGTAGTAACTGACTTGCAGCGTCAGCGTTGGAAAGCTGCTATGGCTGCAGATTGGCCATGAGGGGATGTAGTTGCACTTGGATTTTTTCTTTCTTTCTTTTTCCTTCCTTCCTTTTTTCTTTCTCTCTTTCTTTTTGACTTTCTTCTTTTGTTGTTTTTGTTTGTTTGTTTCCTTCAAGCTCTCAAAAATGTTTGGCCATATTTTGTACTCAGTGTTGTGAGTGTTTGGTTGTATGGCTACACTGTACAAGAGAACATTGTGGATGGGAATTTTCATAACTCACTTCAACCTGGGGAATCACCTACTAGTTAATGTCCTGGGAAACACACTTCCTTCTGAGTACTCCTTTCTTCCTCAGCTTCCACAGACACAATCTAAATATGAAACCGGTTCCTTCTTACTGTGCCTCGGTTTCCACTAATGCGAGCTGTAATTCCAAAGCACCAAGGTAGGGACTTACAAACATAAGCACTGTAATGGTGTCATAATGTGCCCTGAAGGTGAAAATTGCTTTGCCCCACCTTTCTCTTTAGCCGGTCAGTTATGGTTCATGATTTCACGGTTTGCTGATGCTTTGAAATACATCTCATATTCAAACAAAAATAATATTGTATTATTTTGCGGGTATTGCCATGCTTAAATTTGTGGGGTTTCCGTTGAGCCTAAACTCCGGATTCTCTGTTTTCTTATTGTCATGTTGGTATTTGCTTTTTAGTTTAAGCGTTTTAGTATAACTCCAGTGCAAGTAAAATATTTTAAGAACTTAGGTATGCTTTTGCATGTTCTACTGCAAGCATTGACTTTGCACCCTGTTTTGTGTTCTGGTCTCCTTGTCTCCCTCTGTATCTTTTAAAGGTGTTTGGGTATGGTAGATTGGTTCTTTAGGTAATTGAAGATTTGTGATGCATTCCATTTGAGGTACTCTGGCCCAGATTTCCTTGTAAAAAGATAATGAATCATGTAGAATTAGCTGGAAATGAATGACAAAGTTAATTAGGAAGTTAAAGTTGCAGCATTTCTGCTTTTGACCAATGTTGGAAAATATTACTAAGAGACAAAAAGCACTTTTCTGAAAAAATTGCGAAATATTTACATCAGCTTCTCTGGTAGATGAAGAAAGAGGTTTGATTCAAAGATAGTTTTCTCTTGATGCAGATAAAAGGACTAAGTAGCCTTTTTGCATTACACTGTTAATTTCTCTGTAACTATTCCTGCAGTCTTAGGTGCCTGACTCTCAAGAACCCAGTTACCTTTCCACCCTGATCAAGGTTAAGAAGGGGGCCAGGGAGCAGTAACTCAGAACTGAGAAATGCCCGCCTACTAGCTTTTCCCCACCAGAAAGCTTGATGGCGCCAGAGAGCACTTTGATTGTATCGGACTGCCTGCCCAGACTCTTGAGTTAGACTTTACAGACTCGCTGACGCTGATTGAGGCTTCTAGAAAGGACGAAATAAATAAATAAATAAATAAACAAACAAAAAAGCAATACCAACAACAAAAAGACAAAACAAATAAACAAAAGAGCATCTCTTTATGCCAGCAAAACATTTAAGGGCAGTGGAGGCATGTTCAAGAGAAATATACAAACAGATGTGATCAATATTCTAGGGGTTCTGGGGAAACTGCCCTTTATGTTTAGTTCCCTGTTAGGAGTCAAAGTATTAAATTTGTACCTGTCTTTGCTTTGCCCAGCCACCACTACTATTAAAATAGTGATATGATCAATGCAATTCTATATCATCACCCCAGGAACCCCGAGGCTAAGCTAACATGACTTACATAACCATTAAATAAGACATTTCAACACTCAGGTACATTGCATTCCACTTTTATTGAACAGACAAGGTTTTCATTGTCCAGTAACATATTTTCATTTGATAGTCCTTGCTTATAACATCATGTCCTCAGGAGGACAAACTGCTCAAGCCTTCGTACCCAGTCCCAGTCCCTTAATGTCCATAGTGGCTTATTATGGAAAAACAAATCCATACATGTCTGATGAGTCTCCTCAAGGATGCTTCAGATTTAGCCACTTTCTATTCGTATCACCTTACTATGAGTGCCTCAGTTTCTACAGAATGCTCCCCTGAGGATCTGTATCTATCCAAGTAAAGTCTTTGCTGATGAGTAAGTCTCTGAGAAATTATTTCATCTAAGAGCCAAATTCTATGGTTAATTTATTTTGAGTCTTAAACAGCTAACCTGTTGTTTGAAGAATTTTGCTCAGTGATATGTTTTTTATCATCATCATCATCATTAAGAAACACCGGGCCTCTAAAGAAACCATGAAATCTAATACTTGGCCTTATATACCCTTAGTTTTCCACCATAAATGTCTGTAATGATATTTAAGGTAGCTTTTACTTTAATGGTACTGTTACTTTTGAAACAGTGGTCAAAGGTTTATGTAGAATAACTGATTAGCTGTGACAGCTTGAGTGAGTTAGCTGACTTCTCAGTACCCCAGCTTCCCAGAGTGGAAGAGTGGAGCATTAGCACCCACTTTGCAGAGATTAACAAAGGAAATGTATGAGACACTAAGAATTGTACCTACCACCTAGAAAGAACTCCAGAGGCCCCACCTATATTTAGAAGTGTTGATATTTTTAACTTACAAGTTAACTATATATTTAACAAGTGATATCCTGACCTACAAAGGAGAATTTATTCAATTATGTTTGGTTTTCTTCTCCTTCACTTGTACAAAAAATAATATGTGTAATTATGTGTCATGCTGAAATGTAAGCCACTTTTTTATCCATACAGTGACCATTTTCAGAATGCTGTCTAACCAGTTAATAAATACCCTGATCTGCAGGGGAAGTAATTTTGACCTTTAAAAACACAAGTTGCTTTCAAAGTAAAATAAACTACTTCGTTTTTGTTTTTTTAAGCTGTATTTGCATTTTATGTTACTGCTTAGTCAAAACCTCAAGGTATTAGTCAATGATTTTTTTTTTAACTTATAAAAGAAACCATTGGAACAAGATATGGAGTTAACCTTTGACAGGCTAAAGTTCACAAGGATGAGTTTAAAACTTTCTTGATTGTGGTACAGCAATCATTTGCTCACGAATCTCAGGAATAATATAAGTATTTAATCAACTCTCTTTCTGGGATCTATAGTGACAGGTACATCTGTACATTAATTTTGGAAAAACACTTGTAGATGCACCTATCTCTCTCTCTTTCTCTCTCTCTCTCTCTTTGTGTGTGTGTGTGTGTGTGTGTGTGTGTGTGTGACCAGGATCATATGTATGTATATTCTTCATATTTCTTGCATTCAGCTTTAATATTTTGACTCTCAACAAACTGTTTTCTGGTTTTCTAATTTAAAATAAGTTGACCTTTTACTGTTATTTAGCCATATTAGATATATACATATATACATTTTTTCTTTATATTTATTTATGGTGCTTTTATATCTGTGTATATATTTTACAGATTTTAGGTGATGGGAAGATCAGAAAGTCAGATGGATATAACTGATATAAATACTCCAAAGCCAAAGAAGAGACAGCGATGGACTCCATTGGAGATCAGCCTGTCTGTCCTTGTCTTGCTCCTGACTATCATAGCTGTGACAATGATTGCTCTCTATGCTACCTACGATGGTGAGTGTCTCCCTGCCCACACAGAAACCAGTGCCAAATAAAGCCTTTCTCCTGTGCTTTTACTACTTTCCAAAATACATTCGAATGATGTGCAGATTCACTTAGAAAATGCAACATTCATGTGTCAGACAGCAAACTTAGAATAAAGCACAGTGTCCTTATGTGTGAGCTCAGTTGCTAATTGCCAGGCATGTTCAGTATTTTCATGTGTATGAGACCTGTATAATTTTATTTGATTTAAATATACACAATTTTGTGTCAAACTTCAGCCATAACCATTAATCAATTTCTGTTTTGTCACTGAAATTCTAAAAGGCTTCACAGGAGTCTAAGAAGCCTAATTTGAGTCTTGGAAGTTTTTCATAATAAGGATTAGTAAAGATTGGCTCTTTAATGGGAAAACATGATTACAGAATGATGAATGAAGCATTCAGCTATTTTAATTTAATATTCCCAGAGTTTAGTTGGTGAATGTGGTGTGATAGCACACTTTCTCTCTGCAATCATCTTTAAATTTAGCATTTTCCTTTTATTATTCTGTTAGTTTTTAACTACTAAAGATAGTATATAATATTTAATGTTCCATTTATTTAATTGGCCTACTTTTTTAATAACAAAAGGTTAAATATAAACTGGATTTTTTATTACCAATATATATATATATATCTACTCTCCTTTTTCTAGATGGTATTTGCAAATCATCAGACTGCATAAAATCAGGTAAGAAGCTGTTTTTCATTTACTAGTTTATAGTTAATATATAACATTTAAAAGCAAATGTTTACAGTGATGTCTACTTTTGCTCTGCTCATATGCATGTTCATTAAACTTACTGCACCAAAAAACAAAACGTATTTACTAGTTAAGTAATCAACTGACATTCTTTGAGAAAACCATCACTACACTAAGAGGATAACAAATTATATGTTTTTGTGGAACTTACTAGGTAGTTAGAGAAAGAAAATGAACACCTGAATGGTGAGCTTGGGTGTGAAAAAAGAACGACAAGTCATTCATGAGAGAATTAAGAATGACATGTCGTTCATGTGAGAGAGAAAGAGAAAAGTAAAAATGTGGGGAGGGCCTTGGAGCAAGAAAGGATTTTGGGAGGGAAAAGTATAGAAGAAGAAAGTACAAACAAAACTAAAGAAATAAAATAAGTCATGTGGGATGGGAAATGCATTTGGTGATAGAGTATTTGGCATGTGTTCCACCTTAGATTTGATCTATACCTTTAAAAAAATGGAAAGAATGGAAAAATCATGTTCTTGAAAAGCAGTAAACATTAAATTGACAGATAGGGGCACTTCACACAAAGCTTTGAAAAAATTGTGGGTAGTGTTTAGTGGTGAAAAAGGAGAAATGAAAACTTCCTTGAACAGTGGAGTGTTTGAACAACTGTTGAGGGATGATTCTGCATGGGTTGAGTGAGAAGTGATCATAAGAGAGGGGAGAGCAAGTGGGAGATGCCTCAATAAGGCAGGCATGAGCTGCAGAGCTTGGCCTATGGTGAAACCCAGTGGTACTGAAACAACAGTGAGGGTGAACTGGATGAGTGAGGCAAGTGAGTTGTGAAATGAAATGAGGGTTATGAATAAGTTAAAGTGATATCATGTTGTAAAATCCAAAGGACTTTGGTTTTTTTTTTTTTTTTTTTTGTTATTTTGGTTTTTTTTTTTTTTTTTTTTTTTTTTTTTTTTTGAGAGGATGGTGTTCACTGGCACAAAAGTGGAGAAGCAAGGAAATGAATTCTCTTATATATGTTATAAGCCAGGCCTAACCTCCAGATGGGGTGGCAGAAATGTGGTCTAAGAAGCAGGTGTATTTGGTTTGCAACCTTTCAGTTTATAGGTAACAGTAGAAACCTTGGAACTATTTGAGTTTTCAAAAGAAGGAAAGACAAGGTATGGAGGCTTGATTTAAGAAGACATTAATAATTAGAGTAGAAGGAAAATAAAAGAGAAACACATGCAACTTTTTAAGACACAGAAAACAAGAAGGGTTCTTGACCCTTCTACAAAGAGAAGGAAGATGCATCTGGGTACAACACCCTGGGATATGCTCTTCAACCTTTAGCAGCTGGATGTATTCCTATCTGATTTTTCTGTTATTCTTTAAACTTTGCAAGATAATAATAGGAAATTACCTTGGGGTTCTAGGCTGTGCTCTACTGTGTGGAGTGTGTGCCCTTTGGCTATCTGCATTGCTTTTTAAATAGGTATTTTGCTTTGGGTGTCCACCATAATAGCCATGTACCCTCCATCCTGATGTTTGACATAGAGAGCTTAAGAAAAACCTGGTTATAGATTGGATTATAGCCATTTGCTGTTCAACTTTACAGCATGTACTTTCCTGTCCAGTGGTTTTAATCATAACCGAAAATATGTATTTATTCCCCAGGGAAATGACTATACAGACACACTGGTTGGGAGTTACCTAGGGTCACTGCAGTAAAGTTAATATGAGCTGAGGCTGCTAAAGTTACAATTTCCTTCTTCCCCAGGTATCCCTATTCCTCTTTCTCTTTCTCTGCCAAGTTGTCCTGTCATATCTGTTTTAAGAAACTTATAATTACACCCTGACCTTAATGGTTAGTTCCTCTGTTCTTGGTACACTTGAGATGTCCTTTAAATCTCTTAATCTACAGGTTTTCTGTTCTCTTCTATCAACTCTTTTTTCATGTGTGCTGCTTTTGAAGAAATTGGATTCTTTGACTACATAGGCAGATGTTTATAAACTTGTATAGGGGATTTCCCCTCAGGGTTCAGTTAGTACCCACCTCATGGAGTAGCATTGGGGATCTGAAAGCTTACATGTGACTTGATATTTAGGAACATGGCTTTGAAATAGTGTTTGACAAGTACCAATTGCCAAAATTTATTTAAGCTTTATTATTTAATTATAACTCCAAAATCATGGCAAGTGTAAACTGTCTAAAGAGCATTACTGTGGCATAGACATGTGTGCAGCAGAAACAGCCTCTGCGGCATAGCTGGGCTTCTCATCACTTTGGGTGGTGAGTCTACAAGCTGTTAGGGCACTTTCAGATTCAGAGCTACTGTTTTGCCCTAGGGAAAAAGATGAAGATGACATGCTCTTCACCTCACAGATGAGCATGTTTGTACTCTTCTCTCCCATGCTCTTACACATGCACAGACAAAGAGATAGACAGACACATACAGACAAAGGTTGGGGGGAAGGGAGGGAGGGAAAGAGTCCATGTTGCCTTAGAAATATTTCTGTCACTGGAAAGATAAATTCCTTTAGAAGTTGTTTCAAATAAAGAAAACTTTATAGAAAAATCTTTGACTGAAGGAAGTAACACAGAAGAATGAGGAGAGCCGGATAGGTGGAGAGAAGAAAGATAAGACAGGAAGAAATATGTGGAAAAAAGTTGAATATCCAAGTAGCAATTCTACAGTCACATTAAATGGCTAGAAAAGTTTAAGCCTTAGCACAGAAATTCTTGAGCATTGGAGAAGTAGGTATGATGCTTACTTTAATTGAAAGTGGATTCCATCTTTCTCCCAGTGGACAGAAACTTCCTGACAAATGTCCTTCAAGGAATAGAAGGGATGCCACACTGAGACAAAAACTGATTACTGAAGTCTGTGGGGCTTATATATTTTAGACCTGAGCATCTGTGATTTTATAATACACATCAAGTAATGTTTACAATGCATCCTTTAACTTGCTTATGTATGAGTTCATGGGGTTGGCCAGACTCCAGTAAAACAAACACTACTCAACAAATAACAAGTTAAGGCAAGGCTGGAAATTCTAGTATAAAAGCATGTCATTTACTATTTATGAGACATTTAGCAGTGTCAAAAACTTAGACAGAGCTTGTATGTGGTTCATTAGACTTCTTATGTAATTCTAAACTCTTAAATTTACTTTTTCTTGCATTATAACCTCCCTAACTCAAAAGATTACACAAAATCATGTGCTTTAAATCAAAGTTTCTCAACTTCATCACTGCTGACATTTTGGGATGGATAGCTATTCACAGGGATACTGGCATTTTCAAATGCTGAGCAGCATCTCATTTCTAACCACTCTATGCTGAGCATCAAGTTCCACCATCCCATTACAACAACCAAAAACATTCTTCTTCATATGTTATCAAATGTACTTTAAAGTCAGAATCACTCTGATGGGATAGCATTGCTTTAAGCAATCGAGAGTAATTTTTTTTTCTTGTGAAACAAAATCATATCCTGCCAAAGATGTTCACACTTGATTCCTTACATATTCCTTATCCATCAGTTTATATGCTAGCAAAGCCCTTTAAAAAGTGGGGTGGTGTACATGTGTGTATCTGAACTGAAGATTTGGAAATGGAAAGATGACACAGTATGATTTGGTTGCTATTAAGTAGCTACAAGAGTCTTTATATGACAAAAGGTGCATCCCTAGCACAACAGAAGCAGAGGCCTTAGTGTTACAGTCCCAGGAAAGCATGTCCCCAGAGCATGCAGAAGAAATTTAACTCCTCTGATCCTTTGTAGATTTCTTATGTCTACAACTCTAAGATAATAATTCTGAGATGTGTATGATTATATTTCATTCTTATGGGTGAACAGGTGTGGGCTAGGCCTTATCCTAGGCAGCATGGCTCCAGAGCCTGTTCTTATAATCCTTCCCTATGTGGTTTCAAAGGAGATTGGGAGTGTTTGAAACTTTCACCCCTCTATGCTTGTATAATAGTTTTGAGGCACAATGTTTCCTTTTTACTACAGGAGTCTCTATCAGTCTATTTTGTATCACTAGGCCAGATCAAATCCCAACCCCCTTTTTATAAAGGTATTACTTCTAGATGCCATAGATCAATTTTAGGGGACTGAATTTTAGTACATGGCCCTCTGAAGGACACATGCAAATCATGTACTGAATAAACAAGAGGATCCAAAGAAGCAATTGCTGCCTCCAGAGAAACTAGGATACAAGGAGGAACATAAAGAGATTCCTACAAGTTTCCCCAAGAAGAGGAAAGAAACGAGAGCTCCTGACAGGGGGCAGTGAGTAGAGTGGGAGTTAGGAGAAAGAGAAGGGGAGGAGAGGAGAACATGTGGGACTAGGAAGATTGAGTCGGGGGACGAATAGACAAGAGCAAACAAAAAAGAGAAACCATAATAGAGGGAGCCATTATAGGTTTGAAGAGAAAACTGACATTAGAGAAATGTCTAGAAACATATAAAGATGATCCCAACTAACAATCTGAGCAACAGTGGAAAGGCTACCTTAAATTCCCTTCCCTGATAATGAGATTGATAACTAACTTATATGCTATCATAGAGCCCTCATCTAGTAGCTGATGAAAACAGAAGCAGACACCCACAGCTAAACACTGAGCCAAACTCCTGGAATCCAGTTGCAGAGAGGGAGAAGTGATTTAAAAAAGGGGGGAGAAGGGCCAAGACCAGGCTACAGAAACCCACAGAGACAGCTGACCTGAACAATGGGGAGCTCATGGACCCCCAGACTGATAGCTGGGAAACCAGCATGGGACTAACTCAGACCCCCTGAACATGGGTCTCAGTTAGAAAGCCTGGGCAGTCTAAGGGACCTCTGAAAGTGGAACCAGGATGTATTCCTGGTGTATGAAAGGACTCTGAGAGCACATTCCCCATGGAGGGATACTCCCTTATCCAGGAGGCAGGAGGGAGGGCCTCGTCCCTACTCCAAATGACTTGACAGATTTTGTTAACCCCTTCTGG